TCCATCAGTTGCAATAGAAATCCACTCAGACTTACAAATAAATTTTTGAACTGAAGTTTGAACTTTTTTATAAACATCATTAAGAACCTTGGTTGTAAGTTGTTTTCGTGCTGGGACATGATAATGCATATTAATTGAGGGAATTTCTAAGCATCTCTGGTCAGAGATATATAAATTATATATCTTTGGCCTGTGGACCAATCAAAACACACAAATATCATGTGATAAAGCTTTGATCAGTAACTCGTATCTCCGAACTAAAGACTAAAGAGCCGAATCGCCTTGATCGACCTTCTTGATATACCGTACCACTTTGCATGCGTGTGTTACCTGCCGTTACGTACGTACATAAATCTTTGTTTGTGAGTGTAACCTATCGCTATCTGACAAACAATACAAACAATACAAAAAAATTTTTCTTGTTTATCTTGCACTAATGCCTTCAAACAGTACAAAAAAAAAAAATTTTAGAATCATAGAGAAGTATGGTCGCCTCTCTTTAAACTTGAACCTAGAACAGTACAAAAAAAAAAAAAAAAAGTTTTAGAATCATAGAGAAGTATGGTCGCTCTCTTTAAACTTGAACCTAGATATGTGAACGCTTAATATACTCAGTATAGACTGAGCTTTGAATTTTTATTATGCTGTTTTAAAGGAAGAAAAAATCTTTTGAACTTTTGAAACTATTAATAAGATCCATAAGTTCATATAGTTAAAAATTTGAAATAAACGAAGAACCAAACGTACGACCTAATAAAGCACCAAAAGTTTCAAATCAGACTGTTTTGCCGAAGAAGGGGTCGAAAAGTTGAAAAAGCAAGTGGAAGAGGCTTGTAGAACTCAAAAATTTTACTCTGCACTAACAATTTCCGCCAAAAAAGTAGTGGTGTTAGACTTAAAAAAAATCAAAGTTAACAATGGCCAAAACGCAACAGGAAGTAACGTTACAAGTTCATGGTAAGGTTTTAGTCAGTTAAAAATGTACAATGATTGTGCAAAAGACTAATAACTGCCATAATTTTTTAAGAAGCTGCTCAGAATCAACCTTTAACCCTACTAGAACCTGAAAATACATTAGAACCCGAAACCCTAACCCTACTAGAACCCGAAATCGCAGAACCCAAAACCCTAACCCTACTAGAACCTGAAATAACATTAGAACCCGAAACCCTAACCCCACTAGAACCCGAAATAACATTAGAACCCAAAACCCTAACCCCACTAGAACCTGAAAAAAACACATTGGAATCAGAGACCCCATTGGAACTAAGTAGCTCGCTTTTTCAGTGTGACCAGGATTATGTCTCTCTTGAGGCCTTTAAATATGTCGCTGATCAATACGCTGAAGCAAGTGGGTTTAAAGTGATTTTCCTAAAAGGCAACAATCGCAGTGATGGCTTGTGTTCTACTCAAGTTTTTGCTTGCGATCGCTCCGGCGTGTTCAAACCTAAACCTAAGGATCCGAATAAAAAAAGCAGAAATAAAGAATCAAAAAAATGCAACTGCCCCTGGTCTGTTCGTCTCAATCATAATCCAGAGGACGATAAATATTACATCTTACAAGTCAATTTACGCCATAATCATTCGCTCATTCCACCCCAACTCATGCGTATTTCGCCTGCTAGCTGCGAAATACCAGCTTTTATTAAGGAGAAAATTTTTACCGCAAGAAAAGCAGGAATATCAACACCACAGATCCAATTTCTTCTTACAATTAAGTACGGACCAATAGTGAAGAAGTGGATAATAAAGGATGTATATAATTTGATTAATGCTGATCGCATGTCATGTAGTGAATTTCAAGCCCATGACTTTCTTCTCCTCCTCCAACAAAAATGTAATAATGACCCCGAATTTTCTTACGAATTCGAATTGGATAGTAATAATAGGCTAAAACATGTAATCTGGGTGTATACTGCACAAAAATGACAATATATGCGTTTTTATGACACGATCGTGTATGATAACACATATAAGAGTAACTATTTTTCGATGCCTTTTGGGGTGTTTACAGACGTCACCAATAACGGTCTCTCTTATTGCGCTGCTGGTGCGCTGCTTCGTGACGAAACGTCCTTGAGTTTTGAATGGCTTTTTGAAGCTTTCCTTCGTATATTCAGCACCGCGCCCCATACTATTCTCACTGATAACGATCTAGCAATGGCCGATACTATCCGTTCTGTCCTTACTAATAAGCATGGTACAAAGCATGGTCTTTGTATTTGGCACATGGTAAAGAATATAAGGTCCAATATGACCTCTAAGCTTGGAACGAAGTATAACATGTTTCACGCGGATCTTATGAAATGTTTAAGTCATTATATTGACCAAAACGAGTTTGAAAAGCAATGGAAATGTATAATGGAAAATGAAAACTATGCCGAGGCACAGTCGTACCTGGGAGTTCTTAGTCAGTGGCGTGAACGGTGGGCCCCGGCATATTTAAAAGATTATTTTTTTGCTGACATGTCGTCAACGCAGAGAGGGGAATCAATGAATAGTCTTTTAAAGGGCTTCGTAGACTGTAAAACAAGGCTCACGGAATTTTTGGCTGCCTTTGAACGTGCACTTTACTATCGCGAGAAGGCGGAACATATTTCTGCTTACAAGGAGCTTGTGTACCCCATACCTGTGGATTTTCCAAATCCAATTGAAAACCAGGCTGCTAGTTGCCTGACGAAATATGCCTTGAAGAAATTTAAGGCAGAATGGAGTGAAAAAGACGCATATGCGTGTGAGGAAATAACTGATGACAATGGAGTGCGTTGTTTTGAGCTGTCACGTTACGAAAGGCCAGACGTTATACGTCGTGTCTCCTATGATGGGAAGGTACTTGCTTGTTGCTGCCGCAATCTCGAATTTGCTGGAATAGTCTGCCGCCATTCCCTTGCAGTTGCGGTTCGCCTGTCTCTCGCTCAACTCGATCCTGTCTACTTTCCAAAACGCTGGCAAAAGGACCCGCCCGAGTTGGAGCTTGCAAAAGAATATGTCAATTTTTATAGCCGTACACAAACACAAGATCCAGGAACTTTAACATTACATGAATCATGTGGCCAAGATGACTCTCGAATCCGGTTCATGCATATTCATCGACTATCAGGGGAAATTGCAAGTAAGATTGCAACGGACCCTGATAAATGTGCAGATTTTACGTTGTACCTCGAGAAGTATTTGGAAGCATTATATGTCGTTGATGACGATCTTGTTTCAAATACTTCGGCATCCTCAGAACCTCCGTTAATCAGCAACCCTATAAAGAGCAAGGCTGTTGGGCGACCTAAAAAAGGAAGAATTAGATGCGAAAAGGAAAAGGAAAAAAAAGAAAATACGCCTCCTGTGAAAAAAAAGCGAGGCCGACCAAAAAAAAATCCTGAAATGGTCCCGACCAAAAAACGTGTTCGTGAAGGTGACTTTTTTTTTTTTACATTATACTTTTTATTTTGGACAATTTTTTTGACTCTGAATATTTCTTTCATTATTATTAAGCGTGATGAGTTGCAAAAGTTTGGAATTATGTCATCAAATGGTGAATCGCACAAAATCCAAGTTTATCGTCAGAATGTGAAAACTGATAGGAGTTTTTAGCCTTAAAAGCACAAAGTTTTTTTTACCTAAAAACAATCTTAATAAAATAATTGAAATGCATTAGGTCATACGAAAAAATATTATTATTTCTGTATGTTATCTGATTTATTTTTTATTTGAATTATTACTGTTAACCACTGCTTACAAGTATCCTCCAAAAATAATACCCCAGCCCGTTTTTGAATAAGACACAGTACCGACAAGTACTACTCAATTTTAAAAATGGAGTTTTATGAATAAGACCTCGTTATTGTAAGCAGTGGCCAACGGTAATATTTGATGCGGAAGATCACATGAGATGTTGTAATATATTCGTAATTGAATTTAAACTATGACCCAGAATTTTTCTTTGTTGAAACCTAATTGTTTTTTAAATCGCTCATGTCACCACAGCGGGTAAGTAACAGACTACTATATAGCTTTTACAGTATATCATTTTAGAAATCACGATGATTCTGGTACATAACCTATCTAAATTACATATGTAACTCAACAGTTAGCAAGTATGAATAACGATAACATTTACAATAACCATAGAAATCACAAACTAACATGATTTGTCTAAATAATTTATAGTCGGTAAGTACAGTTTTTTTTGCATGAAAACTTTATAGAAATCACGATTATTTAACACAACTATCTAAATCTTTATGTAACTACTCTAATTTGCAGGTATGTATGGGTAATAGAATCTTTTACAGCAAATAATCATAGAAATCACGATCGTTCCAATATAAAACTAAGATAACCCTGTCAAAATTACTTATGCTATCACAGTCGGTAAGTCTGAATTTTTACAGCAAATCGCTATAGAAATAACGATCATTCCAATACAAACTTACTGACCCTATTTCAATCTATTTCACCACAATAGTCGGCAAGTACGGTGGTAGAATTTTCTTACAGCAAATCGTTATAGAAATCATTATCATTCCAATACAAAACTAACATAGAACTGTATAAATCATTTATGTTACCACAATAGTCGGTAAGTACAACAGAATTTTTTTATGGTAAATCGCGATTCTTCCAATACAAAACTAACATAACTATACCTAAATCACCTATGTTACCACAATAGTCGGTAAGTATAGTAACAGAATTGTTTTACAGCAAATCGCTATCATTCAAGTACAAATATAACATACTCTTTCTAAATCACTTATGTTACCACAATAGTCGGCAAATATGGTAACGGAATTTTTTTTTTACAGAAAATCGCTATAGAAATCACGACCATTCCAACACAAAACTAACTAAGCCTGTCTAAATTACTGTTATCACAATAGTCGGTAAGTATGGTAACAGAATTTTTTTACAATAAATCGCTATAGAAATCACGATTCTTCCAATACAAAACTGACATAACTCTATCAAATTACTATTTTACCACAATGGTCGGTAAGTATGGTAACAGAATTGTTTTACAGCAAATCATTACAGAAATCGCAAATCTAACATAACCCTAACTAAAACACTTACGTTACCACAGTAGTCGGCAGATACGGTAACAAATTTTTTTACAGAAAATCGCTATAGAAATCACGATCATTCCACCACAAAACTAACTAAGTCTGTTTAAATCACTGTTACTACAATAGTCGGTAAGTATGGTAGCATGATTTTTTTTTTACAGCAAATCGCGACCATTCCAGCACAAATCTAACATAACCCCGTCAAAATTACTTACGTTATCACAATAGTCGGTAAGTGCGATAACAGTTTTTTTTTACAGCAAATCGCTATAGAAATCACGATTCTTCCAATAGAAAACTAACATAACTCTATCTAAACACCTATGTTACCACAATAGTCGGTAAGAATTGTTTTACAGCAAATCGCTATAGAAATCATGATCGTTCCAGCACAAATCTAACATACCCTTTACCACAATAGTCGGCAAATATGGTAACGGAATTTTTGTTTACTATAGAGATCACGATCATTCCAACACAAAACTAACTAAGCCTCTGTTACCACAATAGTCGGTAAGTATGGTAACAGAATTTTTTTACAGTAAATCGCTATAGAAATCACGATTCTTCCAATACGAAACTGACATAACTCATCTAAATCACTATTTTACCACGATAGTCGGTAAGCATGGTAACAGAATTTTTTTACAATAAATCGCTATAGAATCACGATTCTTCCAATACAAAACTGACATAACTCTATCAAATTACTATTTTACCACAGTAGTCGGCAAATACGGTAACAAATTTTTTTTTTACAGACGATCATTCCACCACAAAACTAACTAAGCCTGTCTAAATCACTGTTACTACAATAGTCGGTAAGTATGGTAACAAAATTTTTCTTACGGCAAATTGCTATAGAAATCACGATTCTTCAATACTAAACTAACATAACTATCTAAATCACTTATTTTGCCACAATAGTCGGTAAGTATGGTAACAATTTTTTTTTACAGCAAATCGCTATAGAAATCGCGACCATTCCAGCACAAATCTAACATAATCTCGTAAAAATTACTTATGTTATCACAATAGTCGGTAAGTGCGATAACAGTTTTTTTTACAGCAAATCGCTATGGAAATCACGATTCTTCCAATACGAAACTGACATAACTCTATCTAAACACCTATGTTACCACTATAGTCGGTAAGAATTGTTTTACTGCAAATCGCTATAGAAATCATGATCGTTCCAGCACAAATCTAACATACCCCTTTACCACAATAGTCGGCAAATAAGTGATTTAGATAGTTATGTTAGTTTAGTATTGAAGAATCGTGATTTCTATAGCAATTTGCCGTAAGAA